CTCCACAGGTGATTATACTTATTTTATCTCTGAGGTATTTGCAGGCGAGTGAAACAATCGTAATACCTCTTTTACTGGTGGTACTGTACACCCAGGGGACTTCTGGATGCACATAAAACAAGCCCATTGTCATTGCACAAGGCTGTGAGGGGCACCCCGCCCTCACAGCCTTGTGCAATGACAATGGGCTTGTTTTATGTGCATCCAGAAGTCCCCTGGGTGTACAGTACCACCAGTAAAAGAGGTATTACGATTGTTTCACTCGCCTGCAAATACCTCAGAGATAAAATAAGTATAATCACCTGTGGAGGGCCGACCCACTTTTGTGCATTTTGTCTCACTCACTTTACCACTCATCTCACCCACTTGCCATTATTCTTCACTTCAACGACAAACGTCTACTCGTGGAGCTTTTCGTGGCACCTCGAGATACACTTATCACACCATCTTCGATGCTATACTGCGATTTTGAGGTCTTTGAGGTGGCGTTCTATTTCTCCAGCCTCAATAGTTTCGTCAATTCTGAGTGTCTGAGCAGGGCCAATACAATCGCAAAATGTTCGCCTTCAGCAGAAGCTCCAGTAACTGTCTGGTGCGAATGATGACAGTATTCCTGTGACATTATCCTTTGAATCTCTCCACGAAAAACATGATTGTCGAATAATACGCTGTTTTCTATGAAATCATGAGATTATTATCCGTCGGGATAATTATATCTCGGAGTTTTTCTTCCTCAACTTCTCACTCACTTTTTCTGCGGAAAACCATTCAAATTGATCCTGGGGGTTCACAAGCCCTTGAAGTTTCCAGAATAATGAGAAAACTTGGCATAAAATAATTCAACTCCTCCGTCCCTAATTAACCATCTCTGTTCTATTAAATTCGTTGAAATGAACTTATTCGCATTTTTCCAATAAAGCAGAGAACACACGAGAGGTTTTAATTAAAAAATCATCATCAAAGAAATGTCAATGACGCTCAGCCTAAACCTTTCTCCATCCCTCTACGCAATTGCTCTTTTTTAAAATTATTTTTTATCAACTGACTTTCCCTAAATTGATGGAAATAAAAAATCACAAAAGTCCCTGCATCCAGTCTCCAAATTACCGAGAGTAAAATCCTCAATTAAAGCATAATTCACTGCCTTCAATTGCAGCAACATCGGTACCACCGCTCGAACCACCTGTCACCCCCTCCTTCCGCCCCTAAAAAAACCGATCCAATAACGATTTGGCGTTTACATTCCGTGAATCGAATTTCTCTCGATCTCCGGTAAATTGCACGTGAAAAAAGACAAAAACTTGTCCTAAAAAACGCTTCTAGATGCGCAGGTGGCGCCTTGTTAATTAAAATGTTAACTGAATGGGAAAAACAAGAGGCCTCCGTAATTGTCCCGCTCTCATAAATAAATGTCTACGAGCCAGACAAAACAAAGAAAAAAAAGCGATTGTGGAGAATTTCTTGCCCATAGTTTTTAGGGATGACGAATTGATGCGAGTTTGGTGCACGTATAAAGACCGTTTTGTTTTCCCGGTGAGACTTAGAGAGGTTGAGAGAGTAGTTCTACACCCCCAGCCCACCCCTGCGTCGTCCTTGCTCCGGGGAAAATCCCGTTATAACGCTCCGCTCGTTTATTTCACGTAACGTCCGGTTCACGTGATCAATGGAATAAAAAGTTGGAAGGCATCCAGGAGTCTCGATAACGCCTTTGCTCTCTCTCTCTCTCTCCTTCGTTTTTTAAGTTTTTACAGGAACCATTGACACAAAATATGTCGGGGTAGAGTTGTGTGGGAAAATACTCAGCGCACGGGAGCGGAGTTGACGTCTGACGTATCAAGTCGCTGACAACTTGTTGAGGGAAATTTGAAGGGATTGATGGCAGTCGGCGATGTCATTACAAAGACGGGAAAATTCAATCCTGAATTGAAGAAAGACCACTCATCTCGGTGCAGTAATTTCTGCAATACAGATGACAAACTTTCTACTGGATGAAATTTATTTCTGAAATATCTTGAAAACTTCTGAAGCAGCACAGCTCGCCTTCCCTCGAACCAATAGTTATTTTCTCAATTTGATAAAAGAAATTCTTTATGAGGACAGAAATGATGGGGCAATTACGATTAAGGATGCGCTTGCAATGAGAAACTTTTTCTTTTTCAGGTAGTCAAGATGATGATCGTGGTGGTGGTGATATTCGCAGTTTGTTGGCTGCCATTTCACGTTTACTTTATCGTAACTTCGTATCTACCTGAGATCACGAATGAGCCGTATATACAGGAGGTCTTCCTCGCTATTTACTGGCTCGCCATGTCCAATAGCATGTACAATCCAATAATCTACTGCTGGATGAATTCAAGGTACTTCTCAAAGAATTTTTCAATTAAATTGCCCATAAGAAATATTTTTCCTTCTCTATTGAACCGGAACTTATGCCATTTGATGAACTTTTGAGATTATCTCCATCCAGAATTGTAATAAAAATTCTTACAAATATAAATACTTCACATTATCGAGTATATCAGGATTTATTTCACCCGACAGATAAAATAGTCCATGAGTTGCAAGAGTGATTTCTATCGCGAAATGATAAATCATCAAAAGATGGGGACGAAACATTGCCTTATGGGGATAATTAACCCAAATAACAATACTGAATCACTCCCACATTCGCGTTATTCAATTTCCTACCACAGAAATGGCTGAATCATCTTACAAAACAGCCGAGAAACGCTAAGCGCAAGTTGATTAGTCCTTGCCATTTTTTTATTTGCTGAATATATGACCCGAATGAACCGATCTCGAAAAGTTACATTACCTAGTGGATTACCATAAGCGATAAAACAGATCGAGTTACAAGAGTTGAACAACTTGTACAGTTAAATTTGAGGATTTATGCCTAGTGTGTGTGGATATATAAACTCGCTGAATTCCAGAAACTTGGAGGCCCCGTAGAACCCGGGAAATCTCCAACTTTTCAAATTTACAAACTCAGAGGTCTTTCTCAGTATACATGATTACGTAATTTCGTTATATTTGAGGAAGTTTTGAGAGGAAACTCTAGAGAATTTCGGTCGTAATGAGGAAAAAGGGTATAAAGTTTGTTCTTATTTTATTCTCTCATGAAAAAGAAATTAGGGGAAAATAACTTGCCCATAATCCCCAATTTTTTTCTAATTAAAAATATTCTTTTGGTAGATTTCGCCGTGGTTTTGCCCAATTTTTCTCCTGGTGTCCGTTCGTGAACGTTACCCCAGAGCCGGGCTTATCACGCTCCGAGGCCGTAACATCACGCTACAGCTGCACCGGCAGCCCAGACGGTCACATGAGAATAGCAAGAAACGGTACGTCCACGTGCTCGTCCTCGGATCAGAGTCTATGCACCATTGCGTCAGCCACGCTTCGCCTGGATTCATTCCTGCACGAGCGTGGTGGCGTTACCACGATAATAGATAATAGACGTGACATTGGTCTCAGTGAATTCACATCACCTGTTCATGTTTGATTCATTTTTCTCTGTATATTTATCCTTCTGTAGTTATTAATTCATGCATTTTAATTTTATTTATTTCATCATTTCCAAGTTTATGCGCTTGTAAAAGTAGTTATAGACATGTAATATCGATATTAATGAATAAAAGTCTTGGCTGGATAGAAATAGTTTTTAACCAATGAATGAAAATTCGATTAAATCAACACTTGAATTTGTTTTAATTATTCATAATTAAACAGCGAAAAAAGGACTCGAAATTTCGTTATTTACGAGTGGCTTCATAAAATGTCTTTTCTTTTTTTTTTTTTTCGTCCAGCACTACTCATTGAAATAATTTAATATTTGTCAATATGTGACCGTTCGCAAGAGGTTGCAGCCTCTCGGACCTCAAAGAATCCAAGGATTGACCCAAATAGTGGTTTTAAAGCTTCAATAGACAAATTCTGTGCTGAATTAACGATAATTTTCTCTCCAAAATTTCTATTTTCACCAGGCACGGTGCGGATACCACTGCACCTGCAATCGCCTCATGGAATGCAACTGGGAAACAATAACAATCGTTTCCCAGCTCATCATCGTGGTCGAGGTAGAAGATGGAGGGCTCCACAGCCCAGAGGCCACGTATCCTGACAAGAAGAGGATACGCAGCAGCAACAACAGCAGCAGCAACGAGTACACACGTGGATATGAAATGAATCGTGAATAATAATGTCTCACAACGATAAAACAGGGCATGAAGCCCGTTCACGAACTCTTTCATTACTCTGTTCCTCTTTTTTTTTAAGAGTAGAGGAATTTTTCCGTTTTTTAATGGACCAATAATCTCAGATTCAATCAAAGTCATTTTCTATGGTAATTTGAGGAGATTATTAATGTAATTGAGGAAAATCATACAGGGGTATATATGTAATGTCTAATATGTGTGAATATATATCCGAATTGTGAGAGCAATCGATGTTAGGGTAATGTTTCACATGACGCCTAGGGATTAAGGTATTAACGTGCGCCGGTTCGCGAAATAAACAAATAATAATGGTGCTTGATTATTTCTCCTCTTTTAATGTACATTGTGTGAATATTTGTGTTTCTAAATAATGCACGTGTTGAACATAAAATTGTTATTATTATTGTTGGAGGGGAATGATTGTGTCATTACTGACTGTGAGATTATAACTGAAAGTTGTAATGGGTTCCGCCGCGGACTGAAATGATTTGTTTATTGGAAGGATATTTTAAAATGTCCATTGATATTACTGATCTCTTTTTTCTATGAAACACAATATATCGTTGAATTGGGTTTTATTCAATTGCGGATATTTTAATTGTGGTGTAATTAATGTGGGGTTTCATGTAATTCCACACTTTCCATTGCTTCAATAAAATAAAGGTTGTAATATACATTTGGGGCGATAGTAAAAGTCGTGCCAAATAGATGATACCAAAGAACACTCTCCATCGAACTTGATAAGATTTTTCCAATCCTCTTTCTACGTACTGTGACATTTTTATGATCAACAAAATGGGGAAAATAAGAGAATTCAGTCACTTTTTTTAGCTCTACCCTACCTATTTTTGGAATAAGGAAAACTCTAAATCTAACGGAAATACTTCTCAAGACACAGATAGGATGACATTAAAACAATGATGATTATTAAAACTCTGGGAAAACCAAACGCTTTTTAAATTTAATACAATGAAAATTTTAGTCATTAGTGCTGAAGCAGTATGACTAAAATCTGTAAGATATGTGTACAAGCGTGTATTTTAAAATTTTACGAATCATCGAGGGAATTGAGATTATTGAAAAAAATTGTGAATTAATTATTAGCAGCTCTATGTGGATCGTGGGGCTGAGGTACTGCGATTCGACTTGACTACGTCATAATAAAATCAAAACAGCGACGGAAAATAGCCTGAGTATGCACTAGAGATAATTTTTATTGACATCTCAAAGAGCCGTAAATTAGAAATAAATTCAACAAAATGATGTTTTGGAGATGAAAAAAATACGAAAGAGCCATAGCTCCATAATTCTCAATGCCATGTGACGTATTCTCTGCTATGATTGTATCCTGGATGATGCATGTTAATAAAAGAAGTACCTAATTTTTTATTTCACTGAATATAATAATTTATTTCTTTGTGAATACAACGAATGAAATCAGTCAAGGTGTCAAGTGGTCAAACGTAACAGAATCAAATTGTTTCGGAAATAAATGCACAATTAACAACAACTTCAAATTGCATTTGTTACGTTTCATCAGCTCATTTCAGACATCTTCAACCGCTCCACGAGAACATTCTCTTGAAACGAATCCATCGTCCTGGATCAGGGAAGAATTTAATGGCAACTTTGCCCCTTCTAAGATTAACAATACTCCAAATGGCACAGGAGAGTGTCTGCGGGTCCATTTTGTCGGTGAACAGTTTTCCCTGAGAATGGAAAGAGATCAAAGATTACCAGATTCTCTCGATTAAGTTTATTCGCTTTTTCTTTTTCAATTCATTACTTGCAAATGATCCATCTCATGTTGAGCAACTTTCGCCGGCCATCCCTCCGCTTTCCACTTGAACTTCTTCCCCGTAACATCAAAAGCCTCAATTTGAACACTTTTTGCACGAGGCACGTGCGCAATGTAGCCGAAAACACTGGCGCAAGCCTCGGGATATGAATTTGTGTGATAATCGAGTATTTTCATCTTTGGGTTTATGAATACTGTCAAAGGGACAACTTCCACAGGCTGGCCCGCGCTTTTCGTCACTATGCACTCTTCTACCTGTTTTGGGGTCGTTTCTATCACAAATACTTGGGCGGAAACGCCGATCTGCGGAGCTGAAAGACCGTACGCCTCGTATATCCGCATTGTGGAGATTAAATGGTCAACAAACTGGAAGGCAGATGACAATTGAATCAAGATTGACCACCCGAACCACTCGAGGGGAATGATATTGCAGATAAATTTTGCGATATCCTCGTAGAGAAGACGATTTCGGAAATTTGCCCAGATATTTTGTTTTCAAGTTTTATAAAGGCTCCATACCTCGAGTGCCCTCCTCCAGACATTTGCACGGGCTCAGTCAATTTTTTACATTCGAAACGAATGGGAGAATGTAAATGTACGGGACAGAATTCCCATTCTGTCTCCCGTTTCGCGGCGAAATTCAATTTTTATTTAAGTAAGGTTTGAAAATTAAATTTTAAAGCGCATGGTAAAGCTTTAATATTCAACCCTAACAGCACTCAGCGTTGTGAATGCCAACACGGTGTAAAAATACTAATTCATTGATGGTATTGATATATAAAAGCATAAAGTAATTTTTTTTTTGTGACAACTGCCTCAAAAATGCACTATTCGAAACTATTTAGTGTCCGTAAAGCGGTTGTTTTCCGCACGGCATGTGGGTGGAAACCCCCACGAAAAAATATATAAAAAATATATATAATATAGGCCAATTTAATATATAAAATATATAATTTTGAAAATACATATTTGTCCGTAGTGACTTTCCCTTTTACGTGTTTAGGTAATAATGGCCTGAAGTTGTAGGAGAAATTGCAATATGAATACAAGCGGTTGGAAAAATAATTCAGTTGAAAAAGTGAAGAGTTGTTCGAAAAAAATCTATACTCGCATTTGTATTAATTCATTGGGGGTATAAATATTGATAGATTTATGTTACTCTGAGTATACTGGAACGACAATTTGTCTGCCTATAAAAATTCATTTGAATCTTACTTTTTTGAAATCCACTGTTGCCACGATTTCCGGCTCCACGGGTTCAGCCTGACCGCGCAACGTCGGATCGCCTATCTGACACACGTGGCCGTAAGGGGGGGTAGGGGGTGGTGAGGATTGAAAATAATCAAAGAATGCATTTCCGCGTTTTATAATCAGAAATCGTGATGGATGGTACGGGGAGAAACACGAGGAAAGCACTTTTTTCAACATTACTTCACTGTGATATCTATTACGATCACTTTGACTGATTGTTTATTTTGTTTATTATTGATTAACTGTCGTGAGCAGTTCAATGCAAACCTATGGAGGTTAGGATTCGAATTTGCAGCAAGTGACGCCATCTGCAGACGACATGGAGCAAGAAATCTCTTTTACCTGAATTTGATAATGTAATTGACTAGAGTAGATCATTATCGATTGCTGATGAAATGAACATGAGCAGATCAATTATTACGTGAAATTGATTTCCATTGGTAATTTCATGGTAATTTCAAAAGCATAAAAAGTCGAACAAAAAACAATCATTAGAGTTCTTGCATAGAATAAAAAATTGAATGTTTCTTTCATTGTTAAGATGAATAAGTCACATTACCTCAAATGTTTAATTCATCTATTCGAAAAAGGAAAAATCTAAAAACAGTTGGAATACCATTTGAAATACTTTATTTGTTCATCAATAAAATGGTGCTTCTTCCGAAATTACTCAAGCTGCGCCCTTTGATTCTCCCATCTTATATTTTACAGTTATCATTTTCCTTCATTTTACTTTCACAATATTAACAAGTGACTAGGTAGTGAGAGGCGACTCTCATCCTAAATATTAATCGTTATAAAACAAAAAAAACACAATTCAATGCAAATCGTAGGCACATGGTTGGTACTGATCGATTACTACAACATTCTCTCTCTGTCCTTACTAATTCCCTCATGAAAGCGTTTTTCCTAAGGTACAATGCAATTCCTCTCTTCTCTGAAATTTTCAAATCAGCAGAAATCACAGAAATGCTGTATCTTTCCATCACAACGCACCATTTTTTCTCAAAGCGGTAAAACGTAATTACTCAAATGTGGCACCTGCACTGAATATCTCAGAAACGAGTGATACTGCGGCAAAATGGCATTTCGTAGCGAAGCATTTCCTCCTAAACTCACTCAAATTCGAGATAATTCAATTATTACGTTTTACAACTTAACAATCGAGATTGCAATGACTTCACGGAAAAACTATGCAACATAACTCGTCCATAATTTGTCAATTTCACAGAATTAAAAAATGACGAGTCCAGTAACAAAAGAAAAAAGAACCTGGAATCACCGGATATCCGTGCTCGTCATCGCACGCCTCGTCAACGGTAAAATCCCCAGAATAAAAAAGAAGTTACGAGAGTAAAAAAATGTCGTGACATTAGCTGCGATCTCGAATGCGTTACAACCACTCGGCCATTTTTTTCCAACCTCCCAACATTCGTATTCCCCCTCTTCCTCACAAATAAAAACACATTCACGATAAAATTACAAGAATAAAAGTCGTACGCGCTTATATTGCTTTATACACCTATTTACAACGTGGTAATACGGGACTGTCATTTATTCGAGCAAATTGCAATGGAATTTTAATATAATAATGACGACAAAAAGGGTGTGTTTGTGTGTGTGTGTGTGTGTGTGAAAAGAAAGAATATCTGGAGGATAAATAAAATGAGTAGTATATTTAAGGACATGATGAAACAATAATAATCAAATTATGCTTGAGGACAGTCCCAGCGTTTCGTCGTATTTCAGGCATACAATAATACTAGTGATTCGTATTTTTCAGCATAAAATAATAATTTTTTTGTCCCCATTTTCATTAATTTTCTCTAGCATCAGGTATTTAATGATTCAATCATCAACTTTAGTATCTACTAAATCGTGTAAAAACGTACACAAAAGCTACGAGGTAACTCGTTTTGTCGTACTTTTTACATTTTCAGTCTCATGGAGTTCTTCCGCAAATTCATCTACATAATAACAAAAAACGTTATGATCGGCCACCTGAACAATTACTGTCAGAGTTCAATCTACCTCACAGTCCCCACCCTCCCCCTCTTTTTCATCCCTTAAAATTCGTCAATTTCATTTGTGCAATAATTTAGGGACGTGACAAATTCTGCGGACAGCGGCTCATTGGAATAAAAAGGCACAATCGTCGATATTTTTGTTACATATTTTTTGTTCGTCTCAAATGGCTCTTTGTTGCTTCGACATTTCCACTAACAGTCTGACGGATATGGAATACAAAATTTAATTTCATCGCGAGGCAACAAAAATGCTCTCAACCCAGATTGATATGTGGATTTTTAAATAACGTGAGATGGCGTTACCGAAGGGCGTATCCCTGGGCTCTTTCGTCGTCACGAGCTGCAGCATCTTCGTGTCCCACGAGACCGTTGAACCCCCATATTTCTCTCTCTCTCTCTCTCTCTCTCCCTCTTTCTCCCTCTCTATTTTTTTTACATTTACGTTTTGCTTCTTTTTTCTACTCCCTCTTGCTCTCTTCGCGAGCCACTCACTCACATTCTTCCCTTTTCTTTTTCTACTTCAACCTCTTTCTCTGTCGTGCACACAACCATTCGGTTCACGCTCTCAATACAATAAACTATCTTACGATATAGGAAAGCATTGATTACTGAGTTGGAAGGGGTTTTTCATCATTTTCGATCAATGTGAAAAATCAATGGATTCTTTCAGATTGTTTCTGTGTGTGTGTGTGATTTTTTTTCTCTTGGTGATAGAAAGAGGGTCAATAAACGTATATCGTTTTAAGCTGATCCTTGAGCTCTGGAGGAATGGCACATGTATCTGTCTCCGGTTTTCTCTTCACGAGACGACGCCAGCGTCCACCAATGTTTTTTTTTATGCCTTTGGCAAAGCCCGGCCTGTCCGCCTGGAGTCCATGTACGAGAGTATCCTGATGGAAATAAAACAATTTCAATGTTAATTATCTGAAATTTCGGGCAATGATTTTGGGGAAAATCGTTGTGGAATTGGAGAAAAAAAAATTGTTTCCCTCTATTCTGTTCTGTTCTGCTCTGTTTGGCTCAATTTGAAAGTTCAGGGCATCGATCTACCCCTGGCAGACGGCAGGGCCCCATTGCAACCCCTCGCGTATACAACTGCCATTTATTCCCCGGTAGGTCTCATGTGAAAGCAGAGGGTGAGAGACTCACTCGTCATTTACAGCCCTCACCAGTGCAACGATCTGCGCGCAACAGACACCGGCTGTGAACCCTATAGCTACGGCTGATCGATAAAAACATTCATTGCATTTTTTCTTTTTTTTCGCCGATTGGTGCGTTGAACTGACGAATATTAAGAGATCTCTCTTGCACAGAATTCAATTCTCAGCAGTAAATGTCTCTCGATAAATTGACTGAATGGCTTTTTACAGAGATGTTTCCAAAAGAATCCGATAATCCAATTTTACATTCTGTTCATCACTCGAAGAATTAATTTTCATTCATTTAATGGAAATTTTGGAGTCATAAATCGCAATGAATGTTTTCCTTGTGTGCGCTCATCGTGGCATAAATATTCCCCAATTTACTCTCAAAATTGCCAACGTGTTAACGAGCGTTCCGTTATCATTACGATCCCGAATAAGGAAGTGAAACCTCGAGTCGTTTCCGAGGCTAGAATTTTGGACTCGGCCGTGGCCCCCATATAATCCCCAGTAATTTTCCTTCGACCTCCGTGCACGTAACTAAAAATCATTTTGCATAATTTGGCACATTTTTTTGCGCCCTCCAATGAGCAAACGCCAGCCACATCAATTCAATCTATCATTGCACAATGCACTCTCAACAAAAATAAAATAAATGTTACAGTAATATTGAGGGTATTGAGACGGTTATTTCGACGTCCTACGCCCCTTTTTTCCTAGACGGAACGTCCGGGGGCTCGGAGGTCTGGCCCAAAGCCCCGAAGAGAGGGAGAGAGAGAGGGAAAGAGAGAGAGAGAGAGAGAGAGAGAGAGAGAGATGTCGAATGGGATTACTCAGGGGGGGACTTAGTGAGAGATTGAGAGAAGGCGGGGTTTTTGAGTTGGGTCTCAACTCGTATAAGATGTAGATACGAAAAGAAGAAAAGAGGACACGAGGGAGGAAAGGGAAGAGGGAGATAGGAGCCACTGGCACACACAGCTGCCGGTGTCTCCCCCTTGACTGGTGAGCGTCGAGCGTCGGTGTCGTGTTGGCCGCCCACCCACGCTAAATTTAGCGTCACGCTGCAGGGCAACTTGCCACCAAAATGACCACGCATGACCGTTTATAGCCTATACTATTCTATAGTTTTTAACTGTCGTCTGGGGGTTTTTTTGACTCGTAAAATTGCGATGAAATTCTAATGCTACCGAGAAGCGATTCGTGACGTCACACTGTCGAGACTCATTTCAGACGAGTTCAACGGATCAATTTGAATTTCCCCAGCGGTCTGTGTCGTTAGCAATGTTTTTCCTCGAATTTTCTGACGTTACGCGGACAAATTTGATGGATAAACTTGGGCCGACAGTCAAAATGTGCTAAACCTGACTGACAAGTGGAGCGTGAAACGGTGAAAAGTAAACGACAATGGCAACGGTGTCTATTTAAAGGTGGGGAGTTGTTATAGGCATTTTGTTAAAACTCGTGGCAACGCTGCTACGATTGTGTCTTTGAATATATATAAATTTTTTTCTTTTTTCATTAGCCTCTAGTGCCCCGTTAGGATAAAACCCACACTATCCAGCCTAACGTGTGCTGAAGTGCAATGTATAGAAGTCTCAGGGATCTGTCTTTCTCGACACGCGCGGCACGCGAGGCCTCGTCCTTGGTGAATCGATACCGACGCGAAACTCATTACCCAGGCCATAGTACACGCGTTATTTAATCATCCCCCCTCACCCTCTCCTGCAGCCTCCTCTGAGCAACATTTTATCAATTTAAATTGAAATTTTGGAGTTTATTCAGGTGGAGCAAGCGCATTTTTCGGCGGGAGAATTTGTATTGCCGCGTCAGCTGATGCCCCAATAATTGACGAGATTTTTTTATTCTCAAGGTTTAACAGTCAATTTCGGGCTTTCTTACGTAAATTATTGTCCAATGAATTTAATCGCGAGTAAGACGGACAATTGACTCCTGCCAAAAACGTAAATTTTGCACTTGTAAACTTTGAATTCTAAAACGAGAAAATGTTATTGGCACTAAACACCGTGTGTCTGTCGTTGTTACCAGTCTGAAAATTCTCACGTGATGCGCACGAGCGTTGTTCCAACTTTATAAACATGTTTTTATTATAATCGAATGGATATGCTACAGTGAAAGATGATCCCTGCCGATGAATACATAGCAGTGGGGAAAATGTAAACGGTTTCAGAGTGTCTCGGTAACGATTTGTTTTCATTTCTACAGGGTAAGAGGATTTGTTTGAAGGGAAATGCGGAAATTTCGATAAAGTACTTGTCCCTACAAAAAGGAGCGTCCCCACGAGCATTTCGACATATCCCATGAATTCTGAATGAAAAATGAAATAAAATTGTGTATTTACCTGGTCGTTGTACAAGGTATATTGTGGCGGTGGCGTTAGCGGTGGATATGGCGGTGGAAATTGCCAAATAAATTGTTCACCAGTTGTCTCGGTAACAAACGTTGTATTCCCATCAATAATACCATTACTAAGCTCGCTGGCTGTTATAATTGCACCATTATTAACAATGCCATTGTTACGTATATCCCCGGTCGTTGTTATAACAGTTTGGGCTGTTGCAGTTGTTGATACAATAGCCGATACTGGTGTTGCTGTTTGCACCACCGATGGTTGCTCCGTATGTACCTGATCGTTTCCATGATCCTCCCTCTTCCGCAATTTACTGCGGACAAGACGGATTGCAATCATCGTACCGTTGCTCCCAACCATTTTAAGGTAGAGCCGGGTCAACTTTTTTGCTATGTTGGAAGGAATTTTTTGGCCGGTTCTGGCGAATCCTCGAGCTAGTCGAGAATTCTAACGATTGAAAAATAAAAATCGACGAAGTCTTGGGTTGACTTCTAAATATCACTTTCAGTATTTTGAAATGTTCATTTGTACTTTATTCAATGTGAAAAATACTTGGTCGAATCACTTGGTCAGTTGCACTCAGTCATGTAGCATCGACAACGTCTCAACTTTCATTTATAATTAATTGATCGTTCGTTTTATTTGTTGGTTAAAACGAAACACCGTTTTCTCTCACTCATGCAGCACAAACACCACGAGAGAGTTGACTAGTTTTATAAATCCTTGGTCTTTGTCCTATCTTTTGATTCATTGATTGATTAGTGGTTTTAATTGAACTAAATTGTGGAACTATCCTCCTCTCATCGATTAAACTTTGATAATTAGGGGCTACGTCGAACTAAACCGATAGGTAAATTCTCCTCCCTCACACACTGTGCGAGCTGCAGTTGATTCACCACGGTGAACGTCGACGTCTGCCACCGTCGCCCCGATACTCATGTCTCGAGCCAACGTGAGTGGTTTCTGAACCGAGTTGAGGCGGTAAGCGGCTCTTTATAGCAACGAGTCTGACGTCATGCGGCGAGTGGTGACGATTGGTGGAGGGCAGTGAAGAGCTCGACCAATAAGGGAAAAGCGTGGGGACTCACATTTGTGTTTGATCCAGGCTTTGTCAAACATTTGTCGGGGTTTTCAAATTTTTTTTCAAATTCATGACGCAAAGATTAAAATTCTACAATTTCCAATTGATTATTCCGGAAATAATAACGCAACAAAATAATTTCATTCCAAATTTCAAAAAAGGACGATTCCTTTTCAACCAGTATTTTTAAAAATATGTCACATATCCCGGGGGAACTATCAGAGCGGAATAGATTCTAGTTCCTTTCGTAAGAATGGAAAAACATGCAAATAAAAACGACTTATTTCCACGGAAAATTGAATAGGAAGAATCCTACTTGGAGGATTATACGTTTGAGGATAAATTCTGTTCAAAGTGTTTCCTCGCATTCAATTTTCATGATTCAAGGAATCAGGGGAATTTCGTCATTTATGAAGAATCGTAGAAAAAACCATAAACGTGGGGGAAAACAGATATAAATAAAAACAAACTGTAAACTCTTGCGTGATTAGATTAATCCTGTTTGTGTTCAGAGATCTACGAACTCAGTTAAAATGTCCAGGAGAAGTAAACAACAATGAGCTCTGGTCAATAATATTATTATGGAAATTCCAAAAATTTCCATAAACCAAGCAACTTGGTCAGCAACAATACGTCTAAAACATAGGAACAATAAAACACTATAGCACGTATTCCTGTTATTCTGTTATTGATCCGCGTGGAGATGACGAAATTTCCCCAAAAAAAACATTTACGTTTGAGCGATCGAATGTCGCAACTTAATGCAATGATGACCGTTGGAGAAAACCCGAGAATTTATCTGGACGCAACGCCCTCGATGGCTCAACAACTGAGATTATTGTCAGAAACAAAGGGAATGGCGAGGTGTTTCTGGGTTTTGTTTGGTTATTGAGATAGGATGCAATGACCCTCTTTCATATTACTTTTTTTCTCCTCCGTCTTCACTTCACTTTATCCGTCGCTAGGCCTGCACCTAATAATTTCATGCAATTTTCTCCCCCTCGACCATCGGAGTGACTTCCGATGCGCTCGTAGGCGCCAGAGATGGGTAATATAATTTCACTAATGAACTAATAATTCTCGTGACGGTAAATTACAGTTTCCCTGAGTAATGCGAGTGCAATGCCCAGTAACACCCGCAGGGTAATTCTCATTACGACGATTTTATCATTCCTATTTCTTGCGCATGGCCCTCCGTATGACGGACGATTTTAGTGGAAAATGAGAGTGAGGAGGACATAACGGAGATATAAACATACTATTAGAGTCTATTTTTGTCTCGAGTTGGGAGGGATGGTGTGGGTGGCGCTCCCTGGGGTGAGTGTTCAACCCTTGAATCGTGCCGCAGCTACGACGGACAGTGGCAACATGGGAATAATATTAGTAATGGATGGGGACAGCAATCCATTAGTGATGACGGCGAGACGAGTATTATTAGGATGTGATAATTAATAGTTACTGTAGTGGGGATAGGAGGATTTCACGGGAGGCTTTAATTCTGGATAATTATAGATGTGATAATTATTTTTAATTCGTGGCATGTCGCTCGGGGATTGCGGATTTTGTTGGATCATTGTGACGTCCTTTTATTAATCATTAATGAACACCTATTTCTGGAGGAAAATCGTCATTTGTGAATAAAAGAAAGCAAATTTCTTTTGAAAATTTTTGTCAGCAAAAAAATTCTCTCCAGAATTTTCCGCTGCAGATATTTTTTCTAGTCGCATTTTTTTTCAGTAAACACGTGGTTTATGACGTAATGGAGAACGTACCAGGCTTCCTCGAAATATCTCTAAACCTGGACTTTCCGTATTGATAAAAGACATGCGTCCGGATTACGTTTTAAAATACTCGAGAACTTTCGCACTTGTATTGGTAATTGAGTGGGTCCAATGAATAAAAATAAAAGAGTCAATGGAAAGTTGAAATTCGTCGGTGTTGGGTCAATGGGTGGGCATATGCGGGTGCAGTATGAATGGAAGAAAATGGAAATTCCGAGCTCAGTGATAATGGATTATTTATAGATGATGATAATCGATCGCATGGACAGTTAAATTATCAATGAGAGATTGTGATTGACTAATTTCCCAGGAAATTTGTGCTTCTCGAGAAGATAAATTATGTTATCACCTCCAAGTTGATAGAATTACCTCAATATTCGAGTGTCTATTTCCGTGTTCAATTTTATCGATAGATTAATTTTCAGTCATCAATTATTCTTGTAACTTCCGTTTGGACTCAATCGTTTCAGCATTTTCAATATTCTTTTTGGAAAAAATCGAGAAAATTAAGACGCAAAAACCGAACTTGCGATAGTAATTCAACGGAAGTGAATCGAAATGACGGATTTCGTGAATTATTCTTCCAGACAGACAGAAGTGTTGAATAAACAATTTAAAAAAAGTAATTGGTGATGTTTCTCGCGGCGGTTCGTCGGGTGCGCAACCGACCGTGGGGATGTGAATTGGTGGGGGAGATCGACGCGTGTCTCGAATTCGGATGGCCAGGAATAAGACACTCGTACGAGACATTCAGGCACTTTATTTTCACGCATTTTTATTTCAACGAATGTCACCTCACTTTTATTTTAGTTTTGAATTCACAACTGTCTGGATATGTTGAGATATTTTTGCATCAACATTTATTCATTTTCTCAATGAGTTTGGCAAATAATTACAGACGTAATCACGCTGATAATTCATTTGAGATGAATTGAAGAGGCTGACTCAGTTTCTCTTTACATTTTTTGTTTGGAATTGGGATTTTATTCCAAGCTATCTAATCTTGATTCCAGAAATTGCAGCTGATTCAGTCTGAAATTTTGCGAACGGTGATGTCTCTGCCACCTGCGCAGCAGACCATTTCTTTCCTCAACGAAAAAAAGCTTTCCTCGTAATGTGAATTCACCAAAAAAACAATTTCGCGGTCAATTCTGACAACTCAAAACATGTTTTTCTCTGATTGTTTAACCAATCGCCACATATTTGTTTTCATTTTCTTCTTCTTTATGCAAACCGGAATTCAGTACATTATTATTCAGTGGCTCGACTTACGTGCGCCTGGATTTTGAAAGTTTTATCTGTTGAATCGAGATTACTCAAGTCTGATTTATGATTATTTAATGACTAACCGAAGTATACCGAAGGCAAAAAACAATGTCTTTATTATATTTCTGTGTGACGTCTATGAGTTGTCACGTGAAGTTATCGGGGCAATCAAAATATCTAGACTATTCGACCAAATGAAAAGTTTGAACAAGAGTGGTAAATCAATGGTTACGGCCCCCCAGCGTGAAAACAATAATCTCAATTAGGGAAAATTCCTCTCTTTGTGAATGAACAAACGCGAAGAAATCTGCAATAAATTCAACCCAACAGTCAACACCTGAATCAATACAACTGTATTTATCAACTGTCTTTCTCCAGTAATCAGGAAAAAAAGTCATGCTCTACCCTCTTTCTCCATCTTCCTCTGACCTCTCGTAGTCGACCAAGTGTTCAACCGCATTGTTTGATATGGAAATAAGTACAGAGTATATGCCGGCCAATTATCCCATCCAACGTTCAATGTCAATTGAGTAAATTCGTTAGACATGTAATAACAGACACAATTCATTTGAGTCAACAATTACCTGATTGTAACGGCAAGAAGAACAATGATCACACCGACCAGGATCATGGCAATTAGAACGCCACATATCATGTAGACGCTATCCACTGGTGGATCTACAACAATTAAAAATGGTAGACATAAATTAATTGATCATTTTATGAGAGCTAATGGTTGTTATGATCGATGAGTCTTTCGATCGCCTCCGGGATTCTAGGTTAGTGTTACAGCACTTGCATAATGATCTTTTCAACGCGTCAACATCTGTTTGGAGTGATAATTCACCGGTCAATATTCCCATTGATGTATGTCTTTCACGTGATTCTTCATTGATTAGAGATGATTGAATGATCATGATTGAAATCATCTCTCAGTACTCAATAGTTGAATATTGTTCATTACTTCCTTTGTCTCTCTGAAGATGCAGAGTCTCTAGCCCGAGGCAAGGTTACATCGTTTGTACCGTCTCCGACCTTCCACTAGTCACATAATGTGCAAACCAGAGGCTGCGATATTGCGAAAGCAAGTGAAAGAAAATAACAAAATGACGTTGATTAGTTTTGAAAACCAAGGACAGATATTCAAGCTGTATTTCATTCAGTTTTTTTCCCATCTGCAAAATGGAGAATTCTTTTGCTTTTACTTCAACTTTTTTCTCTCATTCAATCGTATTTTACGCTGTTGGTGAATACATATTGTGGTGATTCAGTCGTCCGTGTCCTACATGTGAGCCTCGAGTGAACGTAAGTTTCTTGAGAAGATAGGTACCATGAAAGTGACGAGGCGAAGCCAAAGGTAAGACCCCCCCCCCCT